ACGTCTACAACACAGTACCTCGAAATAGTATGTGGTAACATAAGGGAAAGAGTTGAATAGACGCTGACGGGGAAAAAACCAAATCAAATACGATGCCCGGATGTCCGCAAATAAGAATAGTGGYGAGGAGGGGCGTAGGGGAAGKTGTTTTACCTGCGCCGGCGGCGTACGAAATTGTCGAAAGACGAGGAGTGCGGGCGGGTAATCCCCGAAGAATCGCGATTATTCTAGGTTAAGATCGAGCAGCGGACCGCGGACACAAATACATGATGGATCGCGCGCGCTGAACGTCAACGAGATTCACCTCACACGTTCTGGATCACCGCACGAAAAGCGCGAGCGGAGGACGAGGGTCGAGGACAAGGACGACCCGACGACGGAGTATGGCAAAAAAAAAATAACCAGTGTGCCCGGCACGGGCTGGACGGGGAAAAGAGTGGCGGTGATGACGATCGTCGCCCCCTCATACGGCACACCACCGGAAAAAGGGTACTTTTCGATGGTCGACGACGGTGGTAGTCGGTGTACTGTGTGTAGGCGTTCGATTATACAATACAAACGAAGAAGTTAGATCACTAAAAATGGGAAAAACYGTCGATCAACAGGTACAAGGAAATACATAAGAAATCTCGACGCCTCGGGTTGAATTTACACATTCTATACGACGAGGAAGGCTGCACACACACAGACACGCGTGCGATCGCGTACACACATACACACGCACGCACACGATATCAGTGCATTTCTCGTTACCTTTGTTTAGAAAAAATCCATCGCGGTAAACGGAACGCTAGCTCCAAGGTTAGGCGTGCTGGTAGAACGAAGAACAACAACAAAATGTAGAAAAATTAAAACTAAAATTACAACGAACGTTTGATCGCGAGTACAAAGGATTGAATGACGACGAGCAATGAAATAAAATTATCAAAAATAGGAAGTATAAATAAAATATAAAATCAGTCTAGACTCTAGAACGTAACGTTTGTTAATGTGCACTGTGTAACAAAAAATCGACTTACGTAGTTGGCTGCAGCTGCGGTCGGTCTTTGTCGGGCAATCGTGATTTGGGACGGGAATTGATTGCGGGCCGTCGTCACTCGTCGTTGGTGGGGGCGGCGGCGTTGATGCCTCGACAGTGAGCGCGGACGACACGGGCGCACAGGACGACAACACTATCGACAATATACAGAATTCTAGAATTGGTAATTACGGACCCAACCACCCAACATCGGAGATCGGACGTTCGCGTGTGTGTCGCTGTCTCGTAGACTATAATAAAATAATTCACCAAACACCACTGCAACAGTGTCGACAACCGTGTGCGATCGGAGTGACCAACGTAAACAACAAACAGCCCAACTAACGCCAGTTTTGTTTCCACCTAAGTCAATGACTATTGAAGCATAATAATGCAATGTATCATGTATCCGGTGTATGACTTAATCATGACTAAAACAATATTCATTGATTAAGTATACATCGATAGCTCATGTAACGATAAAATACGGCAGTGCTGAAACCACAGCCATGGGCGCCAGAAATCTAGTAGTGTGGGAACCAGACACGGGGCGCGGTGTCCATCAATGTGGTCTAGTTGATAGTGACGGGTGTTACAAAACAAAGACACCGAGATCGTATCTGCTCACGGCAATAATATTTTTTGTTGAATTTTTATACAGATTTTTAAATTCTTATAAATTTGATTTATTTTGTATTTTATAATTTAAATACATGGAGTAATATATTTGGCATATAAGCCCTATGGTCGATATAAAAAATAGTGGCTAATAAGTAATGACTATGTTTAGATCACTACCAGGTGTACTGCAAATTTCTAATATAATATATATAAATGGCTTATACATACATTTCAATTTTCATGTCATAGTTAAATCAGTCAAAAATCACTATAGCTCATTAAAGTCCACAATAATATATTATTAAA